TAGTCGCACTGGTAACACCACATTTGAGCTACTTCACTAAGGTTAATGATTGTGTTTGATAACACCTGCAGGATACAGCTTCCCATTGTTATGAAACACTTAACTGCCCTCTGCATTGCAGAATACAAGATACATTCATAAGTGGAAAAATAACATTGCTATCATCTTTACTATTCCAAGATTGGAAGTGCAGATTCATGCAACGCTTTTGGAAACAGATTATCAGCCAATGCAAATTACTATAGTTTTACAATTGGCCAATAATGTTGATGCATTATTTCTTATTCCTCCAAGGCAACAATTACTATGACAAACTAGATAAACCAGTGTCAGGTCTGCTTGGGAAGAAGTAGCTGGAACACTCATCTTCAAGGCTTAGATATATATACAACTTTCTTTGACATAGAAAAGTGGCTCTCAATCAAATAGGAAACATCTAGAAAACGTGTGAAGAATTAGATGCTTTTGATAAAGCACGCAGTGAAACTGTCTCAGGCTGGGTTAAAAGGAAATAGAATCACATTTCAATATAACCATAGTCAGGCAACTAGACAAGGCTAAATACCCAGTTAGGAAATTCTTCAGGACTTGCTGTCATTTTGCTAAGTTTAAAGCACTAGAAAAATTACTGACTTTGCTCATCTCTTTTTTCCAAAGGGAAAAAAAAATCCTACTACTGACTCCCATATTATCCCCAAAATCCTGTGACATTCAACAAGAATTAAGAACTTTACTGTTAATCTTGATATAAATTTTTATTTACAGTTTCTTATGACAGCTAAACATAAAACTATTTTTTTTCCCCAAGAATAATAATAGAAATTAAACTCATTTGGGAACAAAGGACTTACGATCTCTGTATAATACAATATCCACTGTCTTTCAAAGTGGATTAGTAATATCCTTGCAGACATGTAAGAACTCCAGCCAGAGGCAAGCCATGTTGGGACAGAGAGAAGAAACATTAAAAAGGAATGTTGCCATCCCACTTCAAACAAAGTTTTACACAGTGAGAATTCTGTTTTAAGACAAAGAGATACAGAAGGAGATGAGAACTGTGAACAGACCACCAGTTCAGTAGGGAGATCTTATGGAAGAGGCAAGAAGACAAGTCAAGAAAAAGGTTTATAGAAGGAAAAATTCCCTGTGCATCAGAGAACAGAATGGAAGTTTCCTTATAGGTAAAAAGAGAAGGAGGAATGCTGACAAACAGTTCTCTAAAAGTATTTCCATTCCAATTAAAGGATGGCAACTAGGTTCACAAACTTGCCAGCAGCAATTTACAAAACAACCTAAAATGTTAATTTTGTCTCACAGTGAAATCAAATTATAAAATGATGAAGAAACCCTCAGAAAGTAATCCATGGAATTTGCCATGCCGTGGTTAAATTGACTAGAACAGCAATCTTGTTTCTTGTTGCTTTATATCTCCATTATTTTGACCTATTCTCAAACACTCAAAATTGAACAGAAATCACCACAGTTTCACACTGGGACAGAGATATTCCTTTGCATAACAGTTGGCAGATGTTGATTCTGCTAAACTTACCCATATGTGCTTACCCACATGCAGTTTGGTTTCTAGACATTCAGTTTTACCAGTTAGGCTTCTCAGTTACAGGAAAGTACCAAGAATTCCTAGTCTGAAAGTTATATTTTATAAGAGAACTGGATACATCAAAACAGAACTTAGCCAAGTTATTTACAAGTATATCATTATTAGCTTTGATTCTACCCAGACAGAAACCAAATCCAAATAAAATATAAAAGAAGGAACAAAATCCACAAATCCAGCAAGAATTTAGGTGCTTAATCATACATATAATCTGAAGATGAGAGTGAAAACATCATCCTTAATGAATTCAAAACATATTTAAAGAATTACCATACTTGAAATTCTTTTCCAGCCTTTCTGTGCCATTTACTCAGCCCTCATATAAACTCACCCTGAAGCTTTGCTGTAAGTAGAAATGCTCGATGGCATGAAGCAGACAGTGCAGAGAGAGGCCTGTTTTACACAAGCTCTGTGTGTCAACACAGCCATAGAACTGCACTTTTTCAGTTAGCACATTTACTGTATGCTATTCACTAGCTCTCTCAGAAAACCTTACAGGAGCTGATTTTTAATTTTTTTTCCCCCTATACAAACATGTTGGCATGGTATAGAGAGTGAAACTACAAGGACTTCATGCTAGATCCAGGTGCCACCTGATCCAAATCAGAGAGATGATTACAGGAGGAGGTAAAGCTGACCTCACAACTAAAAGGCAGAGGACTCCTGACTTAGAATCACGGTGACACAATCTTAACACTGCCTCAAATTTAAGGCCTCAAAATCTCCAGCATTACATAAAATGATGGCATACACACTTCTCACAAAAATAATCCCCAATCCTTCGTACTCTGAAACCACTTTTCAGCCATGTGGGGAATCACCACTTCAGTTCTGCATTAAGAAGCTTCTTGCTCTCCTCTTTGCTTTAAGAATTAGAGCTGCCAAAGTATTCACGTCAGGCTCAAGCACAACCCCTCCCTACAAGCTTATTCTTCTGCCATAGCCTTACCAGCTCTTTGCTATTTATATTGCACATCTAATCCTCTTGCCAGTAGTGTCTGACAGTGTAAGATCAGTATCTCCTGCCTAAGACAGCTGCCTACTGCCAGTCTCGGAAAGGTCCACAACCTATTTCACCTCTTCTTAACTCCTATAGAACCAAGACACTCCTGTTGCTAAGGAAGAGGTCAGAGCATACTGGCCACATGCAGGAAGCCATTTTCTCCACCATGCTCTTCCAGAAGCACTAACTACTCACTGCATGCCAAGTACAGCCCACCCCAGAGCAAGCAGTTAGTCCCTTGGGTTTAAGGAGACAAAACTCATCTCACTCACACAGAGAAAGTGCCTTTCTTAAAACTATGTCAGAACGAGAACAGTAAAGCAATAAAAATTACAGCAACAACAGCAGAGAGCCATAGAATCACAGTAACACAACCCCAGGCCACAGCAATCAAGCACAACCCCAAATACAGCAGCCACAAACACAGAAAAGAAGAAAAAGAGCTGCCTACCTTCAGAAGACCTCAGGTACACAGGGATCTCCTGCAAGATCCCCTCACCTCCACTGCCAGCCCTTAAATGAGGGCTGGAAGGGGTGGATCCTGGCTCCGGCCCTTCCATCACTCAGATGCATTGCTTACACCTGTGCTCTCCTGGGTTGGCCCTGCCTTCCCACCAGGTGTTCCGTCACTGCTTCAGGCCCTGACTCAGCATTGCTGCTACAAGTACAAATTACAAAGTCACTGTTTATCCATACAGCTCTTGAGAGATATACTAAATCTACTCCATGCTGAGGATGTAGATTTAAAAAAAAAGAAAAAAAAAAAAAATCGGAGGGGAAGGAAGCTTCAAGGAACCAGGTTTGCTTCTGATATTCCTGGAGAAGCTGCATCAGCCTACGCCAGTGAAACAGGCTAAGGCACACTATGAAGCCCTTTTGCCAAACAGGTGTAACACAAAGTCTGAGCCAGAGGTAAGAATGCCTGTTTGGCAATACTGACAGTAGCTGAGATATTTCAGTCTCATAACCACAGTGCAGTGGGATATTATCTATCTCCTTAGGAGGCTTCTGATACTTAATTTTATTATTAACCAAGAAAATTGACTCATGTTTAGTGGGAAGCGAGGTACGTCTGTTCAACACAACACCGTGGACCAAAGAGTTCTTGTTTGGTCTTAAGGGGAAAGCCTTCATTGCAGGCCTGGTTTTTCCTGGCTGCACTTCAGATTGCTGTAAAAATCCTCACGTGGCAAGAAGTGGATGTCGATGTAGGAATTGCTCACGCAGAAGCAAAATGAAATGCCAGAGATGCTAAAATCTAACGTACTCGGTTCAAAACTAAAGAGGACTCTTTCGAAATATCGTGTAAAAACTTTTCCTGTTTAACTTCGTGCCTCATTTTCTGTTTGGCCACTGCACCCTGCTTCAGACAAGGCACGGTCACACATTGCCCTCTTGTGGTCCCTCGGTCAGGATGCTACCCGGGTTTAAAACGGGCACAGGAATCAAAATATTCAGTCTTCAGCCTGCATCGACTGAGTGAGAGATCAGTGCCTCCCAGAGACATCAAACCTGCAACACAGGTAATCCTGTGTGTTGGCAGCAGCTTGTAGAAGTGAAGTTGAAATTCCGTTCATTGAAAGGGATCTGAGCTGGTGTTTTAAATGTCTTCATATTTAAAAGTAAAATGTTTACCGTGTAAGTGAGAGTAAACCAGGAGCCTGTCACCTCAAGGATGAACCCACTGTACAATTATTTGTCTCATCTGTTTGACTGGATAAGACCCAACTATGACTTACAGAAGTAGTTTAAATCAGAAAGCTCCTTTCAGACCTGGAGTTTACTTTTAAGAAGGAGGCTGTGTGGTGGCTGCAGAGACTGAACTGATAACACAAAGAGCCTATCAGTATATCCATAAAGTGTATTGTATAACTGCAAAGATATCTTTTTTCCCTCTCATACTGTATCCTTCCCTGCTTGTCTTCAGCACCTTTAGCTTACTGCTACGTACTGCCAATCACTCTCCTTAGCCTTCAACACCTTTTTAAGAAGCAGAATATTTGATGAAATGATCTGCTGGGCAGCCATCAAATATCAAGAGAGAAGAACAATTATCAATGGGGTTGTAAGCAGCTCTTCATCAACATAATCACATCAATCATAAACCACAGTGGGTTGGGAAATAATTGGATGCTAATGCAACTGAGAACTGTTTCTGACACTGATGATGTTCTCAGGACTCTGGACGCTGGTGTTGGGTGAACTGCTATTGCCAGTTATGCTGCTATCCAAACAGCAGCTCCTTCCACCTTGGTTTTATCACTTTTTAAAATTATTTTTGTTTCATAGATGCGAATGCAGTTATCATTGGCCAGGCATTACTTTGGGATGTAGACAATGGTAAAAGTAAGAATTTTTTCCCAAAAAGACTGATCCAATAAGAAAAGATCTTCATCACTGTCCACCTGAGAGGGTTATGCCAGGAAAGGCAGTTCTAGTTAGCTGAGAGTTCCCTTCAGCAGAAGCAAATGAAGGAACACAAATTGGGCTCCATTACATCTCCAGGTGTTTTGTGCCTCACTTACATCCCCAAACCCATCCCTGCTGTTCTGCTGCTCCAATCAGCCAGGAAGGCTTGCATGCCTGCACAGCATCACTTTAAGAACTAACAAAGCATTCGAGCACACAATATCAAATTTCAATCCTCTGCGAAAGCATCGGTAGTAATCGTGCACAAAACCGAGCCATAAATTAAGATGACTATTGGGTATCAATGCCAATTTCCAAGTCTGTCTGGAATCTGTCCCCCAAAGGGGAAAATCTACCTATCTGGGGGAGTGAGAGAAAGCCACTGAAAAATCCCAGATCGTTCTGCCGAGCCCACGAATTGCGAATAGCGGTTACGTGCCAGAGGAACGACAGCCTCCACTCCTCCCAGCGCCGCCGCTTTCGGTTTCCCTTCCCCGGACGGGCGGAGCAGCCGCTCCCTCCGCCCCGTGCCGCCCCACTGCGCATGCGCTGCTGCGCGGCCACGCGGTGCTGCGGGATCCCTGGGAGCGGCGGACGGAGCGGCGGACGGAGCGGCGGGCATGCTGCGCAGTCTGGGGCTGGTGGGCACCATCGCGGAGGGGGACGAAGGGCCCGAGGAACCCGAGTCGGGAGATTCTGAAGATGAAGAGGTGGGACCGGGCCGGATCAGTTTGGGTTGGATGATGTGAGGCCGTTTCGTCTCTGCTCGGTCGCTCACGGGTGTCGTTGCAGGAGGTGCGGCCGGCGCCGGGCTCCGGGCGGCGGGGAGCGGCAGGAGGGGACTTCAGCTCCGCCTTCGTGTTCGGCGAGGTGGAGGCCGGCGGGGAGGGCGCCTGGGCGGCTGCGCTGCGTCAGCTCCGCGGCAAGGTGAGCCCTGCGGCACGGAGCGCATCGCAATCCCGATCTCCTCGCATCTCCTCTCACAGCGCCTTGCGTTTGTTTTCCTGCTTAGAGATCGGCTACCACGCTGGATGAGAAGATCGAGAAAGTGAGGCAGAAGAGGAAGATTCAGGTCGGCTTTCTCCAAGTGCCACGTTGCTGCGCGGTCTGCAGTGAGCTCGGTCCTCTGAACGCGGTGCTGGAGCTGCAGCTGTCAGGTTGCAGCCACCCCTGCGTGGCCCTGTTGTACGCAGAGCTGTTAACGCTTACGTTGAGGCTGTGGGTGTGAGTGGGCTCATAACAAACCAGAAAAAAGCTCGCAAAGGAGTAAAGTTTCCTTCTTTATCCATTTCACATCATCCGTTCCATTTCTTTGCCCATCTCAGTTTATCCACTTGGCTTGTTTTATGCTTCGGTCCAGGAAAAAGAAGCTAAGCAAGCAAAAGTGAAGGATGGTGATGCAGGAACTGAGGATAATCAGTCTGAAAAGAGGGAATGTGAGGACTTTGGTAGAGAAGAAGAAGAGGACAACGAGTCCCAGTACTCGTTGGATGATGAAACTATCTTCACAAAAGCAGGTAAGCAGAACAAAAATAGGCCTCTGATCTGCTGGAGAACAGTCTTTAATGAAGTCTTGGTGGGAATAAACAAGAATTTCTCACTTTGTGTTGTCTGCAGATCTCTGTGATCAGTCAAACTCATTTTGAATGGTAGCTCTGGTACTTCTGTCGGGGTGGTTGTTGAATGAGGAGATTTGCTTGGTGTGTTTCTCCATTGCTTGCCCGTATTTATTTCTGAGGCTTTTCATCGATAACTTCTTAGAAGCAAAAAGTACCAAATGAGGGCACACAGAATATGTTGTTATGTTTAGTTTTACTAAAATTCCTATTGTACTTCTTTGCAGATACGATTAAAGTGAAGGAAAGGAAGAGGTCAAAAAAGGGAGGGCAAAAAGTAAGTGTTGGAGAGAATGGCACCAAATCGTTCTCCAGTCAGTTTAACTTCTGGAAGAGTGTAATGAACTGCAGGTCACGGAGCAAACCAGAGCCCTGTGACTGCATGTTGCTGAGTGTGGTTTTCTTGTTTTGCTTTTGTTGCTGTTGTTTCTAGGAAGCAGAAAGCTTTTTTGAAGATGCCTCTCAATATGATGATAGCTTGTCATTCCAGGACATGAATCTTTCCCGACCTTTGCTTAAGGTATTTATCTAGTTTACTTATTACATGTATTGTTGTAAAGAATGCTGGACAGTCTCTCTCCACCACTCAAAGCCGTCGCGTTGCTCCTCTCTTTGCAACCTCTCTGAAAAGGAAATGAGGTGGGGTATGGTATGATAGTTAGCTCTCTCAAATCTTTCCTGGTCTGGGAGTTGGTCCAGTCCTTTACCAATTTTATGGCCCTTATTGAGCACTCCAGTAGTTCCACATGTGTTGGGGAGCCCGCAGGTGGAAAAAGTATTCCAGATGTAGCCTCAATAGAAGTGTGTAGAGACAGCACTAAACTGTTTTGTCTCCTTTGAAGGCAATCACAGCTCTTGGTTTCAAGCAGCCAACTCCAATTCAGAAGGCTTGTATCCCAGTGGGTCTTCTGGGGAAGGATATTTGTGCTTGTGCTGCTACTGGGACAGGTGAGGGCTTGAGCCACGGAATGTGGAGAAGTCCACAGGAGAAGAGTATTTGCAGTAACTCATAATTCTTGGTAATTCTTAATTTTTCTTCTGTAGGCAAAACAGCTGCCTTCATCTTGCCTGTGCTTGAGCGCCTGATTTACAAACCTCGTCAGGCCCCAATAACGAGGGTGCTGGTTCTGGTGCCAACACGAGAACTGGGGATTCAGGTGCATTCTGTCACAAAACAGCTGGCACAGTTCAGCAGTGTCACAACTTGCCTTGCTGTAGGTGAGTATGAAGTTGCATACCTGGATTGCACAGATGACTATAAACTGCTGTGTGGAGCTGGAAATGCTGTACTCTAAAACTGGACACTGTGGTTGTTGCAAACATGCTTCTAGAAGGTGTGCTAGAGTTTAAAATCTCACTTTCCAATGCCATGCAGGTTTTTTGATTGTTGGTTTTGTTGTTGTTTTCCGTAAAAAGAAAAGGTGAGATCACTTCCAGTTGTGAATGTGTAATTAATCTGTGCTTTTTTCCCATTTCTCAGGCAATTTGGATAGATGTACTGTATTGCATCCTGCTCACAGACTCAGCAGTCTGTTTGCTCTCTTTCAGGTGGCCTCGATGTGAAGACTCAGGAAGCAGCTCTGCGCTCTGGGCCAGACATTCTTATTGCAACTCCTGGGCGACTAATTGATCATCTCCACAACTGTCCCTCTTTCCACCTGAGCAGTGTAGAAGTGCTCATTTTGGATGAAGCAGACAGGTAGGCTAGACAGAACAGTGGTGGAAAATGTGATGGTGGCTTCCTCTTCTCCTTTTCCCGGGGTATAGGGCAATCTTTGTTACCTGCCTTACATAATGGTTCTTAGAACTAGATAAAGTTGTATCATCTTTGTATGTGTTTCTCTTGTGTAGGATGCTGGATGAGTACTTTGAGGAACAGATGAAGGAAATAATCAGGTTATGTTCCAAGCACCGGCAGACAATGCTTTTCTCTGCCACAATGACAGAGGAGGTAAAACAGGCTGCTGGGAAACATGCTTAGGCAGATGGTTCAATAGATGTTTGTCTATTAAGTCTTTCACCAGAAAGTGTTGAACTTTTTTAAAAATATTTTCTGATAGGTGAAAGATTTGGCTTCTGTTTCCCTGAAGAATCCCACCCGAATTTTTGTGAACAGCAACACAGATGTTGCCCCTTTCCTGAGGCAGGAATTCATCCGGATCAGACCCAACCGAGAGGGAGACCGTGAGGCCATTGTGTCAGGTGAGTGATGACCAGGGAAAAGATGGAATCGGTAGGTGACTGTGAAGCAGGCTGCTGAGAGGACTTTCTTTCAGCTCTACTGACACGGACCTTCCCAGATCATGTGATGCTTTTCACCCAGACGAAGAAACAAGCTCATCGTATGCACATCCTGCTTGGGTTGATGGGTCTGCGGGTTGGGGAGCTTCATGGGAATCTCTCCCAGGCACAGCGACTGGAGGCACTCAGGTATTACCAGGCTTACTGGGCCATCATGGGAAGAGGAAAGGTAGTTAAAAGCTAGAAGTTTTAGAGAAAAAGTGAATCTATATTCATAGCTAATATATTTGCTATTTTTGCTCAGGCGTTTTAAGGATGAGCAGATTGATATTCTAGTAGCTACAGACGTGGCTGCGCGAGGACTTGACATAGAAGGTGTTAAAACAGTGAGTATTTGCAACACTGATCTTTTTAACGAGTCCTTCAATGTAATTTCCCTACTAACACTTTATTTAATAGGTAATCAATTTTACCATGCCCAACACCACCAAACACTATGTTCATCGAGTGGGTCGAACAGCAAGAGCAGGTAGGGCTGGTCGCTCAGTTTCACTCGTGGGTGAGGAAGAGCGGAAGATGCTGAAGGAGATTGTGAAGTCTGCCAAAACACCAGTGAAAGCCAGAATTCTCCCTCAAGGTATGCACAGAAATAAAAAGGAGAGCCACAGGCAAGGAACGTTGTTGTACGGAGAAGAGACTTTAAAAGAGATGCTAAATAGTAAAGTGGCTGCTTCTGATATAATTCACGCTGGATCTTTTTCAGATGTCATACTGAAATTCCGAGAAAAGATTGAGAATCTGGAAAAAGATGTGTATGCAGTTCTGTGCTTGGAGCGTGAGGAACGTGAAATGCAGCAGTCGGAGGCCCAGGTAGGTTTTCTGTAGGATGTCCTGTATTACCTGGAGTCCGTAATGCAAAAGGAGATGATGACCCTAGTGTGCTTAACCTGCATACTTTAGAAGGGAAATTGGTAGATATTCCTTGGCAACCATGAGCTTACATCTTGTCTGACTTGTTTCAGATCAATAAGGCAAAGAAGCAGTTGGAGGAAGGAAAACAGGAGACTGCAACCAAGGGTGTAGAGCGGAGCTGGTTCCAGACCCGTGAGGAGAGGAAGAAAGAAAAATGTGAGTTGTAGCACTGCTGGGCATGCTAAATTCTGTAGCTGCAAATAGAATGTGCTCTGTCCTTTGAGAGGTCTTGATTCCATGATTTTCTCTGTCTTTCTCCAGTGGCTAAAGCACTGCAGGAGTTTGACCTAGCATTACGAGGCAAAAAAAAAAGGAAGAAATTTATGCAGGACACACAAAGAAAAGTCCAAATGACAGTGAGTATAATTATGGGCAAAGGGGACTCTGGAGTGAATTATCCTCGTTTTTTCCTCAGCAAAACCTCTCATTGCTGTAAATGTACATTTTGACACTTTCTAGCCAGAGGAGAGGTCACAGTTTGAAATCTTGAAATCTCAAATGTATGCTGAGCGGCTGGCAAAAAGAAATCGGCGAATGAAGCGAGCCCGAGCTTTGCCAGAAGAGGAACCAGCAACAGCACCAAAAGGTGAAGGAAGCACTTCTGTTTCACAGCTGATAAACCGTATATCAGTTGTTTTGTTGCATATGGGTGAAATGACCTAAGTTGTGTAGTGGGAAGCACCAAGTTAAAAGGAATGGCCACTGGTGCTGGCAGGGGCACTCAGTTGCAGAGGGGAGAGTCATTGCTTTTCCTGATGGTGATGCTAATTGTTGTGGTCACAAATACTGAGCTTTGGTACACTTCAGTACTTCTCATTACAGTCAATGTTCTTCTGACTATTGTATTGTCTCCTTGTATTAGGCCCCAAGCGGAAGAAAAAGGTGTCTGTGTTTGATGAAGAGCTTACCAACACAAGCAGGAAGGCTCTGAAGCAGTATCGTGCAGGGTAATGGCTTAGCAGCAATTTAACATAGACCTTCTATAGTGTCTGAACTTTCTCAGCTGTAGTTTGTGGGGTACTGGGTAAAAGGATCCATTCTAGTTATGTTATGGGCATAGCAGAGCAGGTATCTTTCTAGAAGTACATGTGACACTTGTTTTTCTCTCTGTAACAGTCCATCATTTGAGGATCGGAAACGCTTGGGTGTGGCCCAACGTAGGAAAGGAGGAAACTTTAAATCCAAGTCCAGGTATAGCTCCTCTTTCTATTTCAAGTTTTTCTTGATTTCCTTCTACTATCATGGTTGAAAGGCCCTTTCTAAGACATCTGATGCTTCTACAGCAGTTTAATCTGGTGCTGCAGGGTCTGGGAGAAATCAAAGAGACTGTCTGTGTGTAGCGTATGTCTGCATTTTAGTGTGAGAGAGCATTGCCTAGTAAAACCACTGTGCTGCTCCTTATTTATCACTGAGGTAGGCTGGTGCAATGTGATTTCAAGGATCTTCTCTTTCAGGTACAAGAGGAAATAAGAATTGTTTTACTAGAGGGGAATCCGGGCTCTCTGGACACTTCAGGCTTCTCTCCAGGGCCTGGATTTCTTCACGTGGGGAGGAACTGAATAGATTTTCATCAAGTCACAGAATAGCTTTGATTGTTCATTTACAGCTGGTTGACACTATGTGAAAATATTTTCAGTCAATATAATAAATTTTCTAAAAAAAAAAAAAGTTCTTTTTTATATAACAGCTCAAGCAAGTGAGATTTGGGCCACGTTCCTTCTTTCTGTCACTCTTCATGCTTATTTCTTCTGCTTCTGTGATTTGTTACTTAATGTGGTTGAAAGGATTTATAGAGGTGAGAATCTGTTTCTAGAGTACCCTAGCTGTCCTTCCAAGGGGTAGTCTGATCCTCTGAAAGGATACTGTTCCTCCTAACCAAGTGAACAGAAAGCAGCCATAAGGCAAGACAATTGCAACCAGCATACTGATATTTGTTACTAGGAGCATTGCACTTCTCTATAAAGATCATGTTGGCTTATTGCAAGCTAAAAAAAAAAAAAAACAACACAACAGCTTAATACAAGTAGCACTGTCCTTATTGTACTCCAAATAAAAGGGAGAATTCTGGTTAGTAACCCCTGATTTTGCAGCAGTGTTAATCTCTTGTTGTTACTCTTTACTCTCCATATAAATTATTTTTCATCAGCTACTTGATAAAATTTCTGTAATATTCCTCAATTCCTAAAAAGGATGAGAGTGACCCTCGCTCCTGTGTCTATGGGAATAACTCTTCTGGCTTCAAACATGCTCTTCCTTCACACCCAAGCAAAGTGCAGAAGTAGAATGTAATGAGTGCAGTCCTGAAGAGATCAGTACACTAGTGTAAACTGTGTTGTTTTCCAACTTTATTAAAAAGGGCAAACTTTACAAGCAGTAAATAGAAAATATACATAGCAAAGTTCAAACAAGTCATACTGCTCAGTATGTTTCCTTATTAGTCTTCTCACAGTTCTAAAGTATGTTGTAGAGGATCTTAGGGCCTCGGTGGACGCATGCCAGGGGGAGGGGGTCCTGGAAATAAAGAGTTGAATATTGAAGAGGTCAGAGGAAGCAAAGCTAATAAACCAGCAAGATCTTTTCCCTGTGCCCACAGTAGCCTTGGGCCCCTTTTTCAACACTGATAAATCTATTGGCAACTAGCGTAGCTAGGGAGCCACTGAAGTGTACCACTCTTCAAGTTTGTTTTTGGTTTTTTTTTCGTTTTTTACATTATAGCTTCTATGCAGGTAGGATAACTTCCACTCACCTCTCATTCCTGGGGGTGGTGGTCTCATGCCTGGTGGTGGCATTCCCATGGGAGCGCCTCGGCCAGGTGGCATTCCCATCGGTGGACCCATAGGTGGTCTCATGCCTGGAGGAGGTCCCATCATTCCTTAAACCAGAGAAAAAACAAGTACTTACATTCAGCTGAACGCTAAAGGCCCTAATGGTATATCAGAATATAATCCTCAAAATCAGCTCTCCATTGCCCATCTGGCCCCATAATGCAGGCTCCTTGCTGTTCCACTCTGCAGTAAATCCTACCTGGAGGAGGGGCTCCTCTGCTCATGGGTGGAGGAGGACCCCCACGCCCTGGTGTGTATTGAGTTGGGGCTCCTGCTATGCTAGCAGTGGCTGCTGCAGCAGCAGCTGCAACCGTTCCACGACCCTGGGGTGTCATCACCTGTAAACAACATAAACCAGTTTTCTGTGAACCTGTTCATAACTTACCATAACCAAAACTTACATTCTTAATTCCGAAAACTATCACAGTCTTCCTTTTATGTTTTAAATAATGCTACAACCATGTAATACAATTCCCTGAATAGCACTTGAATTCAGGAAAACTCTTCTTTCAGCATGAGATCCAGAGTAGCTAGGTGGTGTTGGTATCAAAACAAAAAGAAAACCCCACGCCAACAAAAGCCCAAAGCTTAAGCACTTTGGTACCAGAAGTTAAGATTATTATTTTTTTCACTTCGCCAATTTTTTGCATCACAGAATATACCAGACAAGTCCTCTTTAATGGGCCACACTATCTCACCTGTTGGGATGGTCCTCCCACTCCTCTGACAGGGCCAGCTAATCCTGCTGGAGCCTGGGGCATGGGTGCACCAGCTGGTACTCCCCTTCCTGCTGCTCTCCCAACTCCAGGTCCTCCAGCAGCTCCAGCAAGAGGCACACGGGCAATGCCAGTCTGAAAACAGACACACACACACTCAAAAATTTATCAAAACAGAAGTCCTCAGGTTTTGGGAATCCCCACAGCTCTCTTCTGTCCAGTCAATGTCTGAGGCAATGAACAGGTGAACTTTCTCCAGTGGGATTTGCAGTGCTACAACAGTCATAACAGCACCTGGAAGTCTAGAACATGGCATAATAGCCATCTCTTGCAAGGCCACACCTACAAAACATCCCTTCCCTTTCTCCTTAGTTCTACATTCATTCTCCTTACGTCTTTTGGAGGTGGCCCTTCAACTGTCATAGACACCAGGTTTTCTCCTCGCAGCAACACAAGACCAAGGACTCGTTTTTCTTCCCGTTCTGGCTGTTTTGAATTCTTAGGTCTAATGAGAAGAGAAAGAAAACATTACAAGACAGTGAAAAAGAAAATCATGTTGTTCTTTGAACATGCACCTGAATACAGAATCATAGAATGGTTGAATTGGAAGGGACCTGTACAGGTCAGCAATTCCGATCCCTGCAGTGAGCAGGGATACCCACAGCTCCACCAGTGCTCAGAGCCCCCCAGCCTGACCTGAGTGCCTGCAGAGATGGAGCACCCACCTCATCTCTGTGCCACTGCCTCACCACCACTCACTGTAAAAACTTCCTTCCTTCCATCTAATCTAAATCTCCCATCTACTAGATTGAAACCATTCCCTTTGTCCTATCTTAAAGCCTCACTGAAGAGTCGGCATCCCCTTCTTTCCTGCTGTAAGGATCTTAAGAATGTTAAAAAAAATCTGTTAAAATACTGAAAGATACAGTCTGACTGTTCCATAGCCCAGAGCCTGCTATGAAAACAAATCAACACATATCCACCAGCCAGGCTAAGAACACTGAGAAGCCCAAACAGAAGATGAACACCATCCCCACGACTCTTTTTCCCCCCAGCGCGCTCGATAGGCTGCGATGGCACCGCAGGCGGAGCTGCACGAAGCCGCCCGAGGTTCCGCCCGACCCGGCGCTGTCACTCACTTGATCTTACGGAACTCGTCGCAGTCGCAGAGGATGAGGTTCATGTGCTTATCGAAGGCCTTGAAGGTGCCGATGAAGACGCGGCCGTCCTGCAGGATGCACCGCATGCGGTAGTCGATGTGCTGCAGCATCTTGCTGCTCTTCCCCACCGTCTGCAAGAGACCGCCGTTACACCGCGCGTTACCGGGGACAGCGGTTCAGGCGGCCCAGCCCGGCCCGCAGCGCCCGCACGGCTCACCATGGTTGCGGTTCTTCGCGCTCCCCTCCGCCACCGCACGAACGCCTCCCGCTCTACCGGAAGTAGCCCCGCACCGCGCCGCCACTTCCGCCCGCCCGCACGCGGATCTCTGCCGCCGGCCCCGCCCCTTCCGCCGCGCGAAGGACGCGTTTCCGCCGCCGGCGGGGGCGGCGCTGCCCGGCTGAGGAGGTGCGGGGCGTCGGCGGGAGCGCGGAGCTCGCAGGGCGCGGGCGTCGATGCGGGCGCTTATCTGCGGGCCCCGCCGGTAACCGCCGCAGGGAGGGCTGCGCCGGTCCTCGCCGATGGGCCGGGCGGCGCTGAGGGGGCGGAGGGGCTCCGGGGCCGGCGAGCCTCCGCTCGTCCGCGGGGGGAACCTGGCAGCGCCGCCGATGGGGCCGCTCCGCACCTGCGGAGCTCGGTGGGGCGGGGCCGGCCGGAGGCGGCGGCGGCGCGGGGCCGAAGCTGCCGGGGGCGGTGGGGTCGGGTGAGCGGGGCCGGGAGCCGCTCTGGGGCCGGGCCGGCTGCCGGCGCCGCCGCTTCCTCTCTGCCCGCGGCCCTTCTCCTCCTGGAGGCCCCGCCGCGAGGCTTTGGCCTGGGGCTGCGAGCCCGCTCCGTGCCGGTGCCGGGCCGAACCGCTGCCAAAGCGGAGCGGAACGTTTGGACGAAGGTTCACCAAAACGAATCTTTCACCCCTTAGGGCGGGGTCTGGCCCGCCCCGGGCTGTCGCTGACTGGCGTTACAGCCTTTTTCAGCTCGCTCGACTGATGAAAAATAATAAAGCCTTCTCTCTTTTTGCTTGTTACCACGTTTCTGTGTTTGCTAGGGAGTCCGTGCAGCTGTGCTGAACGCTGAGCCTGGTGCCGCAGCCTGCTCTGCTTTGCGCAGCCTTAGGAGGCCCCGGGCTTAGGATACCAGAGGCAGAGATCTGAGCGCCTGGTTCAGCGCTTTCTGCAGCGAATTGAGTTTCTTTGCTCGGTGTGTGAGGTAACCTGGAAGGCTGTACGTGGCCCTCGGGTCGGACTGCTGGCTGCCGCCCCCTCCTGCTGCTGGGTTAGGAAGGGGCTTGTCTGCAGTTGGTCACTCTGCTAATGGCACCTCCCCTCGTTTGGCCTGGGCTGTCCGTACCACCTGCTGGGGGCTCGCTGGGAATTGGCTCTGATGTTTTCAGAAGCTGTGCGGCCGTGCACTGGTTAACTGGATGGTCCTACGAGGCAGCTTTTCTTTTTTCATTGAATGTTCTTTCATCCTCCTCATTTTTATTCTGCGTGCAGCACAATTTGTTCTATCTGTGATGAAAAGAAGATTGAGTTTGTGAATAGGGAAATTCTGTTTAAAATACTCCATTTGTTTTAGCTTGCAGTTTCTCAGAAGTCTCTTGAATAGTGTGTTATAAGTGGCTCTGCTGATTTCTTCTTGCTTTGCAGCCCTGCATTGCTGATTCATATGATGGACCTCACTCTGTAGAAGCAGAGTGAATTTGCTTCTGATGGATTTCAGTTTGGCTGCTCTCTCCCTGCATAAAGTCTTGAGAATTGCTTATATGAGATTTTTGAAAAAAATATGCTGTGAGAGACCAGTAAGTAACTGATCACAGTGATTATGTGAAATTGTGGCAACTGCTTCTTCATAAAAGCTTCTGAACAGTTGTTTTATCAGATACATCACTGATGTGCTGCAAAATCTCTCTTCTGACATCTAGCATTGTCATCTCTTGTAGCTGCAGACACACAGTAAAATCTTTTCAAAGAACTTGTCAGACCATCTCCTGTTAAGACACTGCCATGAGGTGCTCTTTTTATTCTTAGTCCAGTCTTTGTTCTCCTCTATGGAGAGCTGCTGCTGCTGAGGCACTGATCTGTGCAGGTGCTTCAAGGTGTTGTTTTTTCCCAAACTGACTGAAGAGTTTTTACCTTCTTGAGTTTTTAATTCCTCCTTGTTTGGTTATCTGCTCCTTGGTGCTGCTGTTGAATTAAATAGTTTTTAAGCTGTGTTTTATTCCCTACATCTGTTATTTTCTGAGTTTGTACGCAGCAGAAAACTTTGAGTAGTGTTGAAAGTAGTGCAATAGGACTTGATTGGATTCTGTTTTCCTGGCGAAATATCAGAGGAGCTGTGGGTATTGTGTGCTGTCTGTGGGAGCTGCAAGTGAGCCCCTGTGGTACTT